ATTTATCACCATGGAGCTGGGCTGGTTTGTGCTTGGCGGGTAACAGAAGCCGTGGGGCACCACCAGTCCCCTCAGCTTCCCAGTGCCAGTTCTGTCTGCTTCCAGACCTCGCGGGGGGACCGCCACCCTGGAGGAGAAAATTGCGGCGAGAGTCACAAGATGACTCTGTGGGATGAAGCCCCACGGGCAGGGACTGGCAGTGCAAGAAAACAAACAGACAAACAAGCCAACCCTTACGCAGGAGCCTAAACATTCATTTTATGGAACTGTGGAGGGTTACTAGAGCTTTGCTGGTTAGGAAGGTGATGTCCTTGTGGAAGAGGCACCTGAGCATGCGCTGCAATGCAAAGCGGGTATTAGAGGGAAGAGAAAGACCAGGCTAAAAAAACGTATTTGTTGGTTAAGCAGCACTTGTACCAGCGTGGCATTATCACTTGCTCCATTCTCATTGCAGGGATTGTTTTGTAACAGACTTCGAAGCAGAAACCGTCTTTTTGTTCTGTATTCATAAAGAGTATGGGATCAAAAGACAGGCGTGAGCTAGATGAAGCATTCGGGTTCATTCAAACCACAGAAGTTTGAGGAAACATGCACAAAGTTCTTACTTTATGCGAAGTTCTGCCTGGAAGTGGTTCTCAGTGAACAGCATTTTACAACTATCGTTTAGAAACAGTTGCTTTGTGTTAAAACTTCACAAGTTGTCTGTAGAGTAGGGGAAGTCCTCTCAAACTCTTGCAATTTCTGCTCCTGGCCTCTTCACCTTTTTTTTTCCCCCTTCCATGATGTCACCCACATCATTAGGTGGCTAAAAATGACCATTTTTGGGTTCCATACTCAGTACGTTGGTGGCATCTCTGCTATTCCTGTAAGTATTTTGACCACCTCCAATTTGCTCAGCAATGCACATCTGGACTTAAGAAAGTTTTTAGTGCATCCATTTTTAAACTCTGGACATCAATATATTAAAAAAAGAATTAATCAAGAGTTGAGCAAAGACCAACTGAACTGCAAGCTGCAAAAAACCACTTTATTAGACTAAATCTGAACTGGAGGCAGAGCAGGAGAAAACTTCCAGCAACAGAAGCATCGCAATCTAAGGTAGGTGATCCTCAATTTGCCCTTAAAATACTATTGTTTGGAGTACCATGCTATTGCACAGCAATTATATGAGCCACTTAAATGTACTTCACCATCATACATTTCATATGTATCACATCAGAAGTTTAAAGTCATTATTTCTATAGCAATAAATGTATTATAACTCATTTATGCTGATTTTTTTTTAAAGCTAGTGTGATTTTTTTTCTTTTTAAAGCCCTAAATTAGATTGCTGACTTTTTTGCAAAGAACACACACAAAAATGATGTGGACAAGGTAAGTTCTTATGCAGACCCACACAGAGAGACTGCCCAGTTCTGTAGCAGCAGCTAGCTCACTTTGGATGGTGGCAGGATAATGGTTTAACCAGACAGGTGCAGAAAACTGATCATATAAACATTTTCACAATACAAAACTGAAACAAAGACAGGGAAAAAAAAAACAACCATACATGGTTTACTTCTTAGTAAAGCCTGCATTTCTGGGATTTATAATTCTAGCTCGCTCTTTTAACTTTCTGATTTTTAATTTTTTTTTAATGCTTATTTGCTGGTTAAAAACCCAAAACATCTCCTCGCCTAAAGCTTGAGATTAAATGAGATTAAAATTTAGCTGGCGGCTCTGTCCTGCAGATAGGAAACCAAGTTCACTCTCCTACATCAGTGCTCACTCTGCACGGGAATTTTCACATGGACCCCCCCGAGAGCTCAGGTACAGCACCTCAATAACTCAACAACACTGCAAGAGCAGACACGTAGTCAGACCTAGCCGAACGTGCTTTATTTTAGCTTCCATCTAATCCATAAATTGTTTGCAACATGGGTCAGCTACCTGCTCACAGAGCGTCCTGCGCATCAGCCACCATCTCGTACCTGCAAATCACGTCATTCAACGCCAGCGGATGCTGTGAATGACCCAGGAACAGCAGTTTTGGTGCTGCAGGCTGGATGAGCGTGGCTAGGGCTCAGCTGAAGTTACCCAAAATAATTGGACTAGTTTTTCTCCTGGAAAAAGTGAGATCTCCTTATTAGCAGCTTGAAAGCCCTTCGTGGTGGTCTCGTGGCAGGCACAGTTCATGCTCCCTGAGGCTCTTTGCTAACAGGCTCTTTGCTAACGCTTGCTGCAGGGTGGGAAAAGGAGGAGTGAATAGGGGGGTTGTGGAGTAGTTGTAAGTGACCTTAAAAAACAGCAGCTGGGTGATTGTGTAAGCGTGGCACCCACCTCCTAAGGAGCTTGTAGACACTTCAGATCTCTATTGTTAATGGACTGATTCTGGGGAGAATTTAGCATGTTAATGCCAGCCCAGAATACATCTACTTAGGAAAAAAGCCTCATTCAGATGCTAACCTGAACATCAGGATCACATCAGCTGGGCCAGCACATGATGGAATTTTGGCCTCCAGCTGGCAAAGTGGCAACTGCTTCATTACTTTCAGCACGCCAGGACTTCTCCCCATGTCCCTAGCCCAAAAATGAGGAAAAGAGGGAGTGCACTGGCTCAGCTGTAGTGGTGTACATCAGAAAAGATTAAATGAGCATAGGGATAATATTTTTCCCTGATTTCTGGATGTAAATAAGGACTTTCAGCTCTTCCAGGGCATTCTTGTTAGCTCCTCCTTGCTTCAAGTCCTCCAGATTGGTGGGCATTGTGGCACTGAATAAAAATCACCATTTTTCAAGTCACCTGTCTAGTCTCTGTCCAGATGCAGTGAGGAAACTACTGAGGCTCTGTTGAAGCCACCGCCCAGCGTCAAGCTACACAGAGCTGGGGTGACTCGAACGTCTTTCTTGCTGTTTGCTGAGGACAAAGAAAGCTATTTTGCGCAGGCAGATGTGGTCAGCCAGCCGTGCACAGATAGACACACATCTCCACAGCAGAGCTGCCTCCACTGCCTCGTACACGGGGAAAAAAATGGAGGGGAACCTACCCGAAGCGGATGCTGTGCCAGCTGCACCACCGCAGCGCTTCAGCCTCCGCTGAAAAGGGAAGAGAGCATTTCTGCAGTCCTGTCCCACGCTTCCTATCGCGGAGCAACAGTGAAGGGGAGAGCTGGATGGGAGCTGAGTTTGCAAGCCGCGAGCTTGCAGCTGGGGGAGATGCTCATCATCCCCAACACAGGGCATGCAAGGTGTGCAAGGCACAGCAAGCGACTGGTGCTTGGGCTGAGCCCATCTCCCACTCCTCTGCAGCATGAAGGGGTGGAGAGTGGGCAAGCAGTGGGCTCCCATGGGCATCCAGCCCAGGACGCTGCTGCCAGCAGTAGCTGGCAAGACTCCGCTTGGCCCCGTGGCGGGCAGGAATAAGGCTCACTATGGCATTGAGCTTCTATTGTTTCCTTGTTCGTATTTCCCGAATGCTTTGAAGTGATTCCGATGCATTAGCAAGTATGAATTAAACCACGTGCTTTGCACCTACCAGGGTTTTAACTGCAGTGGGGGTTAGGCAAATCTCAAACAAATAATTGTAATAGAGACTCTTTAGGATAAAACACTGCAGTAATCAACAGTCAATTTTTAACTCAAACAAGGAAGTAATTCCTATCTGAAACAGAGACACCCAAACACTGTTTCTGTTCAGATCCGAGAATGGTTAACAACAATACAAAGATAAATTGCAGGGAAGCAAGGTAATTGGGGTGCGGCAGGAGAT